GCCGGACCAGGTGTCCAGCTTGTGCCGTTGCCCACAAACATAGACTGGAGCTTGTTAAGGGGAAAAAAAAAAATGAAAAAAAAAAAGAAAGGGACGCTGCACCCGGTTTCCAGCTTGTGCAGTTCCACACAAATAGACTGGAGGGAAAAAGGGAAAAAAAAAAAAAAAAAAAACAAGAAGAAGAAGAAGAAGGGACGGTGGACCCGGTGTGCAGCTTGTGCCGTTCCCCACAAATAGACTGACGCTTGTTAAAAAAAAAAAAAAAAAAAAGGGACGTTACACCGGTTTCCAGCTTGTGCAGTTCCACACAAATAGACTGGAGGGAAAAAAAAACAGGGACGCTGGACCCGGTTTCCAGCTTCCCGTCTTCCCCCGAACATAACGCATATGCGTTGTATTTGAGTTTTCAAAAAAAATCGAAAATCAGGGCTGTTCTAATAGAACGCGTACGCCTTGCATATTCGAATAGAAAGCAACCTTATGTGTTGTACTCGTTTACAACCCACATGCGTTATGTTCGGGGGAAGACGGTGGCTGTGGGTGCTCGTACCGCCACACAGCGAATGAGGCCCAAGATGCTTAAATAAGTTAAATTAATGACCAACAAAAAAAAAAAAAAAAGGTATATTCGTCCTCGCTCTCTTCGGAGGCGAGACCACCCGTTGTACGGATTGAGAGACACTGTCCCTAAATAACGGAGATCAATGGCCAACATCGTTTTCTTTTCTTTTTCTTTTTTCTTTTTTTCCTTTTTTTCTTTTTTTTCTATTTTTTTGATTTTCTTTCTTTTTCAATGACTTGGATGAAGGAGCCAGTATTTCGTAATCTCCGCGGAAGGAGGATCTCGCTCAAGATGCTTTTTCCTCTCTTTTTTTTTCTTTTTTTTTAATTCGAACATTTCTCGATTTATGCGTGTCATCCTTGCGCAGGGGGCCATGCTCGCTCAGAACGTTTTTCCCTTTTCTTATTTGAGTGGAAGTAAGAGATCCTGACCGGTACTTAAAGGGGGGAGGGGGGGGGGGGAAGGAAGCGTAGGTGCACTGTGAATGACGTGGCCTGATAAGAGTGACGTGGCGTAATGGGAGTGACGGAGGACTGCATTGACAGAACGGGACCGCGAATACGGCCGGGTACATCGACGAATGTAATGCCATCGCAGTAGCATTAATGTCCCTTCCCCTAAGTCGAGGGACGCCAGCAAAAAACAATACGACAACAATACAACGCCTCATCTGTCCTTTGCCTCTCTCTCTCTCTCTCTCTCTCTCTCTCTCTCTCTCTCTCT